ACGCAATTGAATAGGCGATGTTCAAGTGTCATTCAAATACAACACGTGCGTCCTGGTTTTGTGCGTCTCATTGAAATGCGATTTAAATTGAATAGCTGATATCACCGCCTCGATCTTACTATTTCAGCTGCGTAGTTGAACCCGGATATCCATCTGTATCTGACAGACAAAAGGATAGTCGCTCTATTTATTGTGTTAATCTTTTATAGTAGTAGAAATTACAAAAATTGTCACAAAGAGCGTAATCTTAATCGCTCATACTACAGCTACATTAATGATTTTTATATTGTACGTAGTTTTATAGTTAATACAATTATGATCGAAAGTAAAGACTAGTTTCTTTGACCGAAATTGAGATACCGCTGATATCGTTAAACAGATATATTGCAGTCGAAAATAATACATCTAAGTATTAAAAGAAATACATAAAAAATTATCGCGTATTTACGATTTGGGTGCGAGATATATCAAAGAAATAACGATAAGAATTCCAGAAGAAATTAACTAAATATTGGCAATAAATAAAACGTAAATTGTTACTTGTTTTTAATTAAATTATTAAAACCACCTAAATAATGAATACTTAGTTGACAATTCTCAGCACAAAATGTCAAAAATAAATAAAACCAACAAAGAATTTTACTAAACAACTAAAACATAAATTACAGTTTAGTAAAAAACAATAATTAACAAAGTAAAAGAAATCATACCTGCTTAAACATGATATAGTTTTCTCAAAGTTAAAAAACAATATCTTCCGCGGTAATGCTCCGTATAAAGCTAACAGTAATATTCATTTATTACAAAGGTGAGAGAGAAACAAAACGCCTTTGTGGAACAGAATAAAGGTAAAATCCAGACTGAAATTAGAGGATTCCTTGGAATAAAGGAACCATAAGCCTCAAAATGAAACATTGAATATACGAATGAAGCAGAAGAAAATACGAAAGAGATTTCACTAAAGGCAATTTTTTTGATAAAACGATTTAGAAAATCTATCTGGAATTCTCATATAACGTAAAGAGTTCAGATATTCTAAGGATAACGATGTTTGTGTCGAAATAAGCGATGTCATTTAGAAACAAGATATATGCCGCGAAAGAGTGCCGAAATCTCCGCTTGTATAAATACAATTCCAACCTAAATGTGTCAAAGTCCCATCGCTTTTATGATAATAAGTCTTTAGGGTTGTCAGCAAATTAAATAGATCATTCTACCAGAAACATTGTAAATTAATCAAAAGGCGGAATGAAACGAATTTCCGAAATCTATCAAATTCCAAGACATTGTTCAGAAATAACATCAACAGTATTTAAATTTACATCATCTGTCATTTTAGATATCATTTTCGTTTTGACAGGTGTAAAATATTACGCCAACAGGATCCAATAAAGGAAAAGTCTAAGATAAATTAAAGGATTCCATCAGAATAACAAACCACCTACAATAATTCTATTCGGCGAAATATGAATAAATGGCACAAACAAGGAGTAAACAAAACTATAAAAATTGAGATTATTTGCGATTATGTGTAATACTTAAACGTGTTATAAAGTACAACTACTAAAAAAAAGCAAGGGAGTAAAATCCCTGTGTCACAAATAGCTTAGCAAAAAGGGAAATGTCAAAGAAATAACAACGAGAAAACATTGGCGTTGACAACACGTACGACAGCCCTAGTAATATCCGTTGCGAGAGTAATTGGAGTGAGAAATATCCGCGAGGCGATATACGCGGCGGTCGGCACGATTTTCCTGGCCTTTGTCCCGGCTAGACTTTACGAGCGGCCCGTAACGTGTTGCAACAAGGAATACTGATCTATCGGAAATTTAGCTGCGTCATAAAGTCTCAGAGTCTATAGCTGACGTACAAATTGGAAGGTGGACATTCTTACCTTCCCGTCTTACCTATAATAAAATTCTTACTTCGGTGAAAGAAATAAATTCAAATTTGCAACTAAAAAAGATCGCAATTTTCACTTCTACACACTAGTTTACTATATTAAAAATTAGGAAAAAACTATCTCTAGTGCTGTAATAACTTCATTTTTTTTCTAAATCTGATATTGCCATTTCATAACTAATAAAAACCAATTAAGAAAAATAACATATTTTTATAATGTAAGTTTTCGTATAGTACAACAACGAATACTTGTTATAAAAATATTCCTGGTGAGTATGACGTAAATAAACGTATCATAACATCTTTATGATTTCAAATTCCCAATTGAATGTATCATAAAATACAAAACTCAATACTGATTTTCCGCGTCTATAACTACGAGGATAAAAGCGATAACAAACATCTTCAAAGTAACTCTAATTTGACATTTAAATCTGGAACAAGTAGACAAGGAAGAAATGGGTTGGTGCTGTTTGTAGTAAAATAAATTTCATTACATCACGCTCAGTACGCTCGATTACATCTTGGGTCGTAATTTTTCACCAGGCAAATGAAAGGCAATGATCCGAATAAATACAAAGGGCAAAACTCTCCATAAATATAAGAAATATTTGCATATAAACATTTCAATAATCTAAAATGCATTTGCAATATGCCAGTGAAATTTAAAAGATAGGTATTATCAATAAATTGATTAAAATCAAAACTATAGATAAAACATAACCTAATAGTGAATGATTTCATTTGAGATTATTTTTTTTTTCATTAATAATGTAACCCTTCGACCGCTTGTTTGTCAGGTCGTCAACCGACAACGGCTCTATTAAATAAAAAAGTAACAACTTTGAACGATTTATAATAAAACCTGCTACTATAAATGAAGCTAATAACATTTGCGAAGCTCTTATAGCCATTGTTACCAAAGCCATCCTCAAAGGTGACCCCGTGGCAGGAGCCGAGTGTTTATTAGGGTTGTAATATTTTAATGTCATCTTTTTATACATAAACCTTGAATAGATTTAATAGCGTTAAGGTAAATTATATATAAATTATATATAAATTAGTATTAAAAAGCAAATAGTTTTACACATTATAATACAAATATAATTTAATCATTAGAAAAAACTGATAAATAGTATTAAAAAATAGTTATAAATGCTTTAACGAAAACCTGGCGCAGAACCCACGTGAATGGGATAAGGATATGTAGATGACGTAATTGTATACAACGAAAAATATGTAAAATTTTCATAATTCGATGATTAATGTAACAGCAATGTAAAATGTAATACGCAAAAAAGGTGTGGGCTTGGCGTCCGGACAGTTAACCTTAACAAGGACTCAGGTGAAAGTGACCGACTGAGTCGTAAATGGATAATAGAAACGTAACCATCGATGTCTATTTTCGATACAATGAGTCATTGAGCACAGAAATAGAAAAATTACAGATAGATTCTTAGCATCTTATCATAGTTTCTTAGCTCTTCAGGTAAGAGCTAAGGAAAAGGAGATAATTTAAAGTGTATGCAAATGTTGTAATATCCACACTACATTATTGAAGTAGTCCTTTTTGATTACGCTCATCCATTCTTGTTAGAAAAGTAACAAGTTCAACACGAGTAAAAAATGACAAGTCAATTTATAGATCGATAAGTCAAGAAGTCAACAATAGTACATTTATATCTAAAACTTGTCCGAAGGATGTTATGTAATCTATGTCTAAAGGCGGACTAACTAAAACCCCGACTATCATAGCTCCACAAATTATATTTGTCGATCCATTATCTAGAATAGAGGCTAGACAAATGGAACGAGGACTCGAGAACTTTATTCATATTACTATTTTAGCATTCGACGCGCTGAGGTCATTAACCTGTGTTAGCATGCAAAAAAAACTAGGTAAATGTCTGATAAAAATTGCACTCAATCGCTGACATAAAAACATAGTAGAAAATTAAAAAGATAAATCAAGTGACTCTTAATTAAAACGCCTTAATTAGATTGCTAACAAATAACATTTCATTATCTCAATTTTAGACAGCATATTGGATAATGTTTATCAATTTAATATTTAAAAAATATCATGAAAGTCGATCTAGGACGATCCGGGTTGTTGCAATCTAAAATTAAATCCGGAAATAAAGTATTCCAAAACTAAATGGGTCAAAGAACACGAACGGCTTCATAATTCGAAGACATTTGGCAGAGGACCATTCAGAAAGCGGCAGCAGACGCCAAATATGTTCTTACTCATGTTTACATAACATCGGTGATTCATTCATTAGAGGCACGACTGTCGTATGACAAGATCTGGCGTCACTAGAATGATTACATATTTGTGATTAATAAATACCCTACAGTACCGAAGTAAATAAAAAAAAGAAGTTAAAATACGAAACTATGTAAAGGCTTCTTGGTAAGGGATTTGGAAAATCAAATTCACAATCTAAAGCAAATTTTAAATATTCTATACAAATCCTCAAACAAATTTAAACTCGGAGTATGAATAGATGGCCTCATTAAAAAGTTACCACAAATTTATAGCGACGAAATCTTGGCACAAGAAGCTTAATATTTTAGTTTAATCTAGTTTTTGGTGAATTTCACAGAACCATTAATGATTTGAATAACAGACTAGTGTAATTCTAATCCAAAAATCGATTGTAGAAAAGCTATGGTGGGTTTATGAAGAGGATAAGATACTTTTAAAGCAGAACTATTTAGGTTAAGATAAATTGCATAAAATTGTTTAAAAAGTTCTGTACCATGAAACCTTAATTTTAGACATAAATAACACATTTCAATAAAAATTATTACATTGAACATTAAAATGTAAATATAAAAATCAAGTTATGAAGTTGCAAAGTTCATGCAGCATAAGTAGGTACATACTTAAAACCAATTACACTTAAGAAACTACCGGTTTAACTTGACAGTGAACTTGATGACCATAAACGATAATAATATTTGGTCATTAAAATAACATTAATATTGAGTTAATGGATATTATTATATTTGACAGTAATAATTATACGTAACTGTTAATTACCTACTACGGAAATTTACGTTGTTAATATTTTTTTTAAGTTACAGCTTACCTCTTTTTGTTCAGTAGGAGTACTGGTCCTTACACCCGTTATGTCTTTCCATCTGAGCACACCCATCACTGCGTGGCGAACCCACGACCCTCGCCTACCAGTCCTACCGTTCGACAGTTCATCCACAACACCGCACAAAACAGAGTTCACAACCAGCCCTCTACCACCGCTACTCTCTTTATCATTCTTTAACGCCACTTCGCCGCTTATCGGTAATGATCTTCTCTCCCTCATAAAGCCTGAAGAAACTCGACCCCGTTGTACTTCAACGCTTTCCGAACCGCATCTTGAGTTCGCAATTAATCATAATAAGACTTCAAAGACGAGATAAATCTCTCAGCAAATCGTTTATTTTTATTATCACAATTTTCGGGTCGACCAGCTGTTGCGACGACGGAAAGTTTTTCAATTATTTTTTACGAAATACGAAAAACTGTTTACTGTGTACTGTGTGTAATTTACTGTATAACTAACGCCCGCAGTTGTATCCAAATATTGGCAAAACAGTTGAATTTAACTTTCACTTTAACGCCCGTATGTAGGGGAAATTTCTTTCCAAGTTCTTATTTACGCGAAAAAATTATCAAACCATCAAAGGTCCTAGAAAACTCCAATATATTACTTTTATTTTATTTAACGACACAATCGAATCACTTTATTTTTACGCACGTGAAATCCAAGTAACTGTCAAAACACGATCGAAGCGTGAAATTAGAAATTTGTGTAAACGCTCAACGTCTGCACGGAACAGCGTTTCGATACCGAATGCCGTAGCGTAGCGCGTGCCACATGCTCGTGCTGCGATCAACCGACGCTGCCATCTCTTTCTTTTTGATCTTATCGATATAAGAAAGATAAGGACAAATAGCACTTCACAGATGCGTCATTAAAATAAAAAGTACAGGTGAATGTAACTGCAAAGATGACAACAAAAACTTTACAAATGTAATACTCTATTAAGACATTTTATAATAAAAAAAAAGTTATTTAATTTTCTAGGCCACTTTACAGTTACAAATATTTTAGTTGTAATACAGAAGCCTACGCAAAAAATCTAATTTTTATTACAGAAAATTCAATTATATCTTAATGTCAAACACATTGAATTTACAGGTAGATTCTTGTTGAAGTTTTTCAATTTCACTTCCAACAATATTATAATCGGAAACTTCTCATTTTTTTAACTACCGGCAAATTTGCGTGGGAACATCCGGAATGGCAAACGCACATTGTATCTCACCCTTAAAAGGGACAAAGAGCCAACAGGTGATTGTCGATGCAGCTGCTTCCGAAGCCCGAAGCTCGAAGGAATACATAGAAAACACTGCAACGCCACTAGGGAAGGATGTGGTAGTGTCGGCTTTCATGGGGAAGTATTGATTATACGCACATACTACCAAACCGAATGTTGAATCATTTATTGAAACATTGAGTTATCAATTAGGGATACTGGTTAGGATATAATTTGACCAACATTTTACAAGCTATAGTAATAGCCACGTCGGTATTTTACTAGTAGCGGTAGGCGTCGTATTTTAATGCTTTTTATTTTTAGATTTACTCCGTACCTTATGTAAAGCGCCTGGCAATTTTAAATACTCATTTTTAACGCAAAATCAATATATATTGAGTTCCTTAAATAAAGCAATATCTGATGTGTTTTAAATTATATTTTTCCGTTTAACTACAAGAACATATTAATAAAAAAAGATGTTTAAGAAACTATGTTGACAATGTAATCAGTAAATAAAATCATCCGTTCATTGAAAAAAAAAATGTTACAGAGATAAGAGATCTTCGTACTTCAGAAAACAAAAGACAATAGTGAATACTCCAACACTATTCAATCTCATAATACCACTTATTTAAATGAGGTCATTATGAATTGAAGCACAGTGAAGTGGAGTTCTTTCATCACAAATTATTATCAAACAAACTCAAAATGTAATCACAATTTAAACTACTCGTACAAACAACATTAACTAGTTCTGTGAAGTACCTACTCTTTGTTTAAATTCAAATTTCAATACCTGTTACTAATTACGTTATGATGAATTCAAAATTTGAATTAGACTAAGAAACGGTTTATAATTTAAAACAAAAAAACTTTAGTAATAAAATTGCATTTTTCTTTTTGTTGGTATAAATTCGTACAATAACAACAAGCGAAAAAAAATAACAATAACAAGAAGTAGCAACAGATATCGCTCAAGGGAAATTAAAGTACAGCAATAAAAATAATCATATTATTTCCCTGGCGCATCTGTATTCAAAAACAAATGAATGATATTTAAGTGTAGTCTATTAATATTCGTAACGGATTCAATAGTACCTCGGGATCGGAACCAATTTTGCATATTCAAGAACACAACGGCATAGTGATGTATTTACTATTATTATTACAAATAATAATAATATTACGATAATGATTAACATTACTTAGGGTGTTCTGTAATAAGTCATTTAGAGAAAACATATTGATAATTTTAAAAGACAAAATGTATTCCCTCTACATAAAAATGTTTGAAGCACATGACATTTTTACTGTATCAAATGTCGAATGTCATACATTTTTAATTACAAACGCAACAGCATTCCGACATGCGTCGCAAAATGTCACACGTCAATGTTCAATACCATAACGCTGCGACATAGATGAATAGCATCTGCCATGTAATCGATAACTCGAATACAAATTAAATGCACATCACTAGTCGGTATTACGTAAGCCGACACATCACTTATGCGAATGCATGCACCTCATTTGGAGGTCGTTAGATCCCAGGTTAGGTATCCTATGTACCTACGTATCCTAGATATACCTGCATTATCTCTCGGTTTATTTGCACTAGGGAGGGGCATTAAGCCCTGTTCCTGTTTAGAAAGGCGGCCATAACTTACGGTTTTAACGAATTTCGTCTGGCTAGAATGAAATCCTGCGTTTATGTTCGCGTGCAACGATATTAATGAGGTCTTATGAGAGAACTAATGCATGGTTTTATTTACCATTCATTCTACAGTATTGTGCATTATTGTAAGGGATATTGAACAATATGATTAACATAAGGTAAATGCAACTTTTACTTACGTCATAAAAACTGTTCTAGCATGGAACATTTCTAGCAAGAAGTCCCTTAACTAGGTTTAGATTAGTTTATCGAAAATTTTCGAAGTTTAGCACATTATTACACAGCAGTCAACTGTTTTAATTAATTTTATTAAAAACTCTAATTTTCACTAAAATGATTAAAAAGTCCACTGAAGAAGTAAGGTGTTTCATCTAATATTCTAATCTAATTAACAAAGAAAAAAAAACAAATTTCCACGTAAACAACGTTTCTAAAACTCCTAATGAAACGTTCATCTTGCTTCAATGTGCAGTTTATTTTTAATTAAAAAATAAACTAGACATTTTCCGGATAAAACATTTCTTTACTACAAAATTAGAATACAAATTATCTGTAATTATTGAAAAAAAAGTTTAATAAAAAGCTCATAAATAAAGTAAATTTTAAGACACTAAGATACGCAGGACAGTAAGTCATAATGAATTAATTTTTGAAGATTTTCCCGTAGATTCCTAAACATACTGGTAGTACAATGTGCCGATTTCCGCAGACTGGCGCCTTTACGAGTTGTCGTTAGATAGTTAAATAAACATGATACAATAACCTAATGTTATTTAATTCGTTACTAAACATTCCTTCATTTATATATCTTTATTCGCTATTTCTCACATAATATATGTTATATGATTTATCTATACTAAGATCATAAAGAGGAAAACTTTGTAATGAAATAACTCAAAAAATACAGAGCCAATTTTAAAAATTCTTTCACCATTTAAAAGCTACGTTGTCAGCGAGTAACATACGCTATGTTTTATATTATTCTTTTAATTTCACGCGTACGGAGTCGCAGACGAAAGCTAGTATAAAAATAAAAATAAATAATGTGTTTTATTATGTAAAAAATCGAACATTACCGGCTGCGGAATCCCATGACTAAAGCAACCAGTGGTCAGGGCTACAGTGCTCCTCATAATGCGTGCAGTTTCTAAAATAACTGCCTTTTGAATCGGGTCCTTACTCCAACTGTCTAGCGAGTGCTTCTTGAGATGTTGGTCGAAGCTCTTCACTATTTATATGATTATTTAAATAAAAATTAAAGTTTTAGGCAAAGTATCATTGTAAAAACATAAAAAAGAAAAGACAACTACATTTCAAGGAATTTAAATCGTAAAATTCATAGTAAAAGTTTAATTCGTTCCTACCATAGATGTCCGAATAGCTAAACGGTTGCCAGCCGCTAATATTTCAGCGGCGATTTACATTTAATCAGATAAAAACCTGCCTCAATTTCAAAAGGATAATTTTAAGTGGAAAATCCAATTTATGGAGCTGCAGTGAACGATTGCTATGCAGTTTTAGCTGCAGTATCATCACATTACGCTTCTATCGATAATAGAATCCATATTGTAAGGCGAGAACATTTTATGTTTGATGCCTTTTCTAACATAAGAGAAAAAATATGAAAGCTTTGTAGTAATCGACTATATATATAGCATTAATGATGAAGATGATTATGGTGATGATAAATGAAAAGAGAAAATATTACATTAGCATATTACATCAAATCCTTCGTCAAACAAGTTAAAGATCGATTGCAAATTCTACAGTCGTCGAAAAACTTTACGGGATTATAGAGAACAGAGTCAAAATTGGTGATTAAGATCATAATGATGCTGGTTTACTACGCGACATAGCAAAATACAGCAATAATAAACATTTACATATCATGTTATCGATACTAAGTCGTATAGATACTGCAAACCACAAAGGCAGTCACTATCAAATCACGTCGCCCATTGACCCAACCCCGATATCTGAAGGTCGGATCTCTTTGTGACCACAACTATACTTGTTCTTTGTTACAGCCTTGTTGCAAAAGACTTAACTGGCTATCGAATAGATGCTGGTCTCGATTAATCGTGTTTAATAGCTAAGTCAATGTCAGTCATATGGATTACGTTACGAAATGTTTTTATTGTGGGAAGCTAAATTTTTATTGAAATGTGAGTAACAGTTCATAAATTGCTAAATGCTTCATAACTTTTACCATGACAGTTTGTGATCAAACAATTTTCTACTTGAAAATATATTCGCTTTAAAAGTTTTCTAAATTTTAATTTGTAAGTAAAAAGTACTCATACACAAAAGAAACCAATTGGTAAAGTTTAAATTTAAATGCACATTGTTACCGTTATATTGTTCGAGTAAGTTCGACCACACATTTTTCGTTCGCATCATCGATTTAAATATTAAAGGCCATCGATTTCTCATGGCCCAAATATCACATCAAAGCGAAAGGTACAACCAAATTGGAGCAGATAAAATTGTTCATTATACATTTATTGATACCAAAAATTATTATGAAGAAATGCCAGTTGGGTTAAAAATAGTCGACAATGAAAAAAATGGAAAGTCTTTTGTAGAGTGCTGATATTAATATCTGAAAGAATACGTCTGCATTTATTTCATTGCAATCTGTCGAATGAAATCTATATTAGTCTGATATTTTATTAAAAAACTTAAATAGAAACAGAAATTTCATTTTTCAACGAATGAACGTCATACTCGTATGGGATAGAATTTCATTACAAATTCATTGCTTTCATGCTCAAATTCTATTTGATTTCATTCTATTTTAGTAACACGTACATATGAATAATCTATTATCATTTCCGTTTTTA